CATTGGACGACTTGCGCTTTAGAAAAAATTTTAATCTGGGAATAACAAAGGATATTTTCTGAAAGAAGTTATCAAAATTAGAAAAACTGCAAAGTTTGGTGGCGAAATGTTGTAAAATACGGAAAATATAGCCCTGCGAAGTTGGCAAATTTGTATACATTTCTATTACGTGCGGAAATTGGTAACTAATTTAGTTACCAATTCACGCACGTAATAAAAAAGTATACAAATTTGCCAACTTTGAAGGGCTATATTTTCCGTATTTTACAACATTTCGCAACCAAACTTTGTAATATTACTAATTCCAAGACGCTCTTTCTAGCTGTGGTGATAGATTTCGTTGTTCTTACTTAGATTAAAATTTAGTCTAAAGCGCAAGTCGTCCACACCGCGAAACAGGCCGTAACACTATTGTTGACAACTTGTTCTGAGGGTGCAGCACAATCTTGTTCAAGCCTGTCGATATCAACGGGGAACAGGTGTTCGTTTTTACGTATGTAGCAGGTTTTAGAGTACAATATTTTCGACAAGTGGTCGATCATCTGCGGTTGGAACGGGCTGAGATATATTTTGAAATCCAAACGTTTGCACTGGCATTCCTGTATACGCCTGCAACATCGAGCCAGCGGCGTTCTGTGGTACCATTGCATGGTAACTCGGCTGCGGCTGGCTGGAAGACTGGGAGCTAATGATCACAGTTGATGGTGGTGTTGGGATAGTGGTGATAATCATTGGTTCCTACACGTACAAAGAAAGAATCTGGATCAAACCATACTTCATTGGAGACTTTTCAGTAAACAAATAGGGTTAGTCCTTCTGTTGCCTTCAATATGTACAGAGTGGACTTTCGTCGACGCTGCATAAAAAATAATGCACAAATTTTGCTTTTCGGTGTTCGGCTTACAATTTCTAAGGATGTTGAAGTTTACAGCGTTAATGTGATTCACTGGTTTTTGAAAGCATCTGGATTTTTTGTTGAAAGTTCTAGGCTAACTCTTCAACAACCTAATAACTGTTTTTAAAGCAAAGCAATTGAAAGGAGACGAAACTCGAGTGAGTCGAGTTGAATATGAGGCGCGTAGCGCCGAATCGGCTATCGCTCATATTCGACGAGAGTGAGTGGAATAACTGTTTTATTATATACGGCAAGGGCTGAATTCACAGACTTTGCTTTTCGGATATTTTCAATATTTTTCTATTTTGTTTATGTTTTTATCTTCGCACTTTCGGCCGATTATTTTTTCAAAAATATATATTTTTTAACCATTTTAAATTTTAAAAATTCACTTGCTAACCTGTAAACAATTTGAGGGAGTTTTTTCATTGTGTTTTTAATCCTGTAAAGGCGAACAACTTGCCGTTTTCTTGTTCGCAAAACGTCGGAAATTCAGTTTGAGCCGCCATTTTGTTTTTCTCTACCAGCAGGATATGAGCTAATATCCTGCTAGTAAAGAACCAATCAGATTGCAGAATACCTCATATCTAGACCTTGTGCATATAATAATTGTGTTTATTACTGCAATAAGAACAAAGCTATTATTTACTGCAATAAGAACAAATGCATCTCATGATGACATACACACATTTCTCAAAACGGATATCGTTGCAACAAAAACTTACTGATGGGGCACAACAAGTTCCAGCACATCCCATGACGCAGCCAGTGAAACTTGTGACTGCCAAAATCATCATCACTATTGTCATGGTAACAATGATGGCGAATACTCTGGGATAGGAGCTACAGTCAAATTCATCTGAAAAAGCATTTAACGGCTGAAAAAGCATTTAAAGGCTGATTTACACTACGCAACTTTCGCCTAAAACTGTCGCATGCAACCTGCTTACAACTTGGGTTGTATTGTGTAAATCAAGCATACAATTCACCCACGACAACGCAAGCGAGTTGTGTGTTTGATTTACACAGTACAGCCCAAGTTGTAAGGTTGCATGCGACAGTTTTAGGCAAACGTTGTGTAGTGCATGTAAACAGTCAACTGAATACTGGTCAGTTATGGTATAGTGAACGAACAAATTATGCTACATAACAATGCAACGGAATTGTGCCAGTTATCGGAATTGTTCCAGACGGGGACGTGATTCGGCAACGCGACTCGATTTTTCACGTTTTGAAAGTATAATTGATCAAGCCGTCGATTTATGAAAGAATTCTTCAAATTAAAGATATGTAAAGCAAATAATTCAAAGATGTTATAGCGCTTCTACCTATTGGAAAACCAAAACCAGGATGGTGAAAATCGAAAAATCGCGCCGTCGAATCGTGTTCGGTGTGTGTCTGGCCGGGGGTTTATATACTCTTCCGATCTCACACTGCTCGTGGTTGCAACCTGAATGCGTGAGAATTATCCAGAATGAGACGCAGACCAAAGTAGCCACAGATGAAACAACTGTCGCCAATATATTAAAGAAGAGAGCAACGGCTAACTAAAACATAAACAAAAAATAGAACATTAATTTTTAATTTCTGTCCGAAACATTGCCAAAATAAAAACTAATATAAGTTAGAGTTATAAACCTTTCAAACATACTGGAATGAGGTTAATTTTAAAACAATCTAATATTAACATAGACCAAGTCTACCGGGTGTCCCCAAAAAACCTGGACACTGTTTGATTTGATGTAACGTAAAAGTTATAAAAGCTATTACAATGAAATAAAGACTATTGCATTCAGAAAGGACTAACCAGTTATTAAATTGAAAAAGGGTTTAGGCTTTCTAATCAGTATACAAAGCTGCACTTACTGTCACAATATTTTTCGTCCTTCCAGCTACAATGGACAACACGCCAGGAATGAGAAACTGAAAATTAACCAGTTACAATTAATCTTACTTCTCGCTGCCATGTATACTCCTTAAACGTTTCAAAAATAATTATATATATATATGCTCTTGAATTTATAAAAACTTGAAACATGCTACTGGCTGGGTTCCAGACGTTTCAGTGAGACTTACAGCCAGATGTTTCTTAACAACAGGCTATTATATGTAGATCAGAAATGCTAGAAACATATACTCACATAGTGAGCGACATGCTGCAAAAAGATATCGCATACGGGGTGTACCTCAAGGTTCTATGTTGGGACCATTATCACTAATTTCTATATAAAACTCCGTGTAAAAGCGCTTTCTTGTCCAATAAGTCAGCAGAATATTTTTTCCAAAGTGTTTTGAAAAAGCAAATGCTTGTTTTTGGCAACACATGCAAATTTACATATTGATATAGATTAAAATCTATCCAGATTATATCACGGACGCCTAACGTGAGAATGTTTTAAGCAAGTAAAAAACGTCCTGATGCTCGGTGAAGTTTCATATTTTCGTGAACTTTTTATAAAAATAAGACTATAGTATATAGCTGACACTATAGGCCGCACGAAAATAGTCCAGTTTAAATTGTTCACATAGAAATTCATTATAGTGCCTTATAGTGCTGTGAGAGTATTTATGATAATTTCACATGTGAAAATTATCGCTTTTCAATTATCGCTTTTCTGTAAAAATTATCGCTTTTCAAAGACTGTCCTTTATAAAATAAACAGAAAAATACATGGATGCTTGGACGTCTTTTTACCTTTAGTACAGTGTCGTGATAATTAATAGCGGGAGCTTAAAAGCAAGTGACGTTTTTGCCAACACGAACGTCAGATTGGCGAGGGGGAACTGGATTGTATCAGTTCGTGGTAATCTTCAACAAATATAACAAAACATAAGATTTTTAAAGATGTTTGCTTTCTCACACAAGCGCTATGATGCAAAATGCCGACAAAATTAGACATACCAATTTTCGGGTGAAGTCCGTTGTTGACAAAAACGTCGTTTGCTTAAGCTCACTATTTTGAGAATAGACGAGGGTCTGAATTCGGCGCTCTGAAAGGAGGAAGCTTTTCAGTCTATTTGATTGACAACAGATAAAATGTCTGGCAAACACAGAACTGACATCTTTGAAAAATCTTACTGACAGCTGGCGATTTTAATTGACAACTTACGTCCAAACTCGCGCTAACTAAAACTTTCCTTTAAGATACGCGAAAAATTGCTCGACAAGTGGACTTTATTTTCACTATAACAATTTGGATTTCAATTCTTCGAAAACCGTCCTGAGATTTCGGCACGATTTCGCATTTAGCGCCCACACGGGAGGGAACTCGAACGCAGCTGACTGCATGAATCCGGCGTTGACCAGTAAAACTGGCAAAATTTGCGTGCAGTTGTGAACTCCGTCTTGTCCCGGTGTGAAAAATCGTCTTGGTATCGCTATTTACATGTAGATGGAGGACCAAACATTCGCCAAACATTACAAACGACAAAATAAATATTTTGTGTACTCACAACCAAAGCCCAAATCCCAGCTGAGTTTGATGGATGGCCGGAATAACTCGTAACAGCAACAACACCGACTATTGCGGACACCGTGGCCGCGACAAGTTCGATAATTCCAACAATGATAGATACATTTGAGACACTACGACTCATAGACGACATTTTGGGAATAGGTTTAGGAGGAAAGATATTTGGAGTTAATAGTATCAATCGTATAAATTACATTTTCTTCGAGCGTCATGGGGCATATGGCTCGATCTAATTTGAAGATGCATATATATTGATAAGGCAGTGGCGAATGCTTAATAATTGAACAATATATGACGTCACAGCAGGACAGCTGCTTTTGTAAGCAGGTCAGACTTGATTTCTATATCAAGATTTGTCAAGATTTATATTTACTTACCAGAATTCAACGGGCGAGAACAATATTGGCTCCCGCGGTGTATAACAGAAAGGAACTTGGTTGCTCAAAGTGAAGCCAGTTTCGTGTTAACCGCACAGACAAAAACAATAGAAAGCTCACCAGTACGCTTCGGTACGATACGGGCGAAGTGGAAAACCGGCTGAAGGATGAATGCCGACGGAAACGACACTTCAGTGTTCAGATAGCCTGCGCATGACTCACTTCAGGCAGACCGTTTACTTGAAAAAGATCATCAAGAATTAAGTACAAGCGAGAACCGGCTAACTTTTCCAGGAACATATAGTGTTCCAGGAACAAACACGGCGTTCGATCACGAGTGAGTCACCTTTTGATTCATGAGGATACTCTGCAACGTCCACAACGATGAAACCGCACTGATGAGAGGTTATAATCGTTGTCTAAGGACTCGCACGATAAATCTGCAGAGCGGAAAAAGGGCACCGTCCGCGTCTGGCCCATTATTATTTGCAGATATTACAGTCGATTTCACGAAACTTTGACCACAAATGTTCCGAACTTCGTTGCGAAGTTCATATTGGAATTAACAAGCCAATTTGTAAACAAAACCCCTGATTGGTCCTTGAGGTAGAAGAAGCCAATCAAATGCGTAGTTTTTTACAAACTGGTTTGTGAATCTCACTATGAACTTTTGAACTTCGCAACGAACTTGCGAACTTCGCAACGAAGTTCGGAACATTTGTCATTTGTGGTCAAAGTTTCGTGAAATCGACTGTAATTAATAATTGCGACTTGAGATCCCGATAATTATAAACTATTATATTGGAATATTAAGGTCCATTTCCACTCCGGCCGGAAAATTTTCCACACAAAATTTTGTAAAATGTGATTGGCCGACACAAATTTTCCGTCGGAAAAAATTCAACAATGATTTTTGTGTCCGTGGGTCGTTTTAATGCATGTTATCACAAAAACTAAAAAAGATAGTGGAATTCTGTGAATGCTTTTTTAGTTTTTACCTCACTATAAGATTTAAAGCCTGAATTTAAAGCCTGAATTTAAAGCCTGAATTTAAAGCCTGAATTTAAAGCCTGAATTTAAAGCCTGAATTTAAAGACTGAATTTAAAGACTGAATTTAAAGACTGAATTTAAAGCCTGAATTTAAAGCCTGAATTTAAAGATTGAATTTAAAGACTGAATTTAAAGATTGAATTTAAAGACTGCATTTAAGAAGCCTGAATTTAAGAAGCCTGGATTTAAAACCTGCATTTAAAGCCTGCATTTAAAGCCTGAATTTGAAGCCTGAATTTAAGGCCTGAATTTAAAACTTGAATTTAATAGTCAGGCAGATACAAGGAAAAAATTCACCATATCGAGGGGCAATTCCATTTTTCTTTTATTTTATACCCTGAAGGCTAGTAAGTACATTTCTGTATGTCGGCGGCGTTAAAATATCTTGTAGGCTCTTCCAGAAACCCGAATTTAAAACCTGAATTTAAAGCGTGAATTAAAAGTCGGAATTGATTGCCGGCTGAATTTAAGTATTCATAATTCATGCATTTACTATTCCGGCGTAGCTTTTAATATCAAAGGAAACGTTTACAAATAAGGTATACAACATTACTGGAACAATGCTAAACTGTTCCAATTAGCCTTTCTGACGAATATCCGCTATTTTTGGGTGGCATCTAATTCTTCTTCCGATACCAATACCGATATCTTCACTTCCGTTCTCATTTTGGTACCGGGAATTTTAAAGCGTTATATCACGACACTCTGATCACGACAGATAAAGTGTAGAACACATTAATCGTCACCGAAAATGTGCGGTATACTAAACAGCTAAAATTCCGACTAAAACATTACTCAGGCGATGCTAATAAACAAATAGTTTACATGTTTATCGTAAAAATTATGAAATATCCGATTTATACGAGTTTATCTTACAATTCCCCCGATTTCCAATACAAGGCCGACTTCGGTTTCTTGCGAGCAGAGAGCATGCGCATGACATGTTGTCAGTATCGGTACTGGAAGTCGAACTTAAACTCTCTGTTAGTCCTGATCGGATGACGACTGAATGGTGTCAACCGGCCCAACCTTAGGCTGCTCAAAGACGTTGTATTTCTTACGCCAAGGGACGAAAAATACAACGTCTGCGAGGAGGCTAGCCCAATTACCTGAGCTAAAACTAAATATAAATTTCCTAACCCGCTATGGCTAATATCAATGTTCTTATTTTGACCAATGTAGTTTTTTTTTGCTTCGTTAGGCCTAGATGCCTACAGTCTACTGCTATAGAGTACATTAAAACGGTTCAAATATTTTCCTGCGCCTTTTTGTTCAAATCTCTCCGGCCCATCACAGCTGTGAATTACCGCCAGTTTTCATAAGGGAGGGTACAATTTCTGATTATATACACCTCTGAGCTTTCGGACATTCGAACCTGGAACACGCTTAGAAGAACGCCGGTAAAATAGCACACGATCACCACAAGAATAACTGCGTTTGCAAAAACATGTCGTCGCCAACATTGCGACCATACTCGTGGAATTGGAATGTTGTACCAATGAATGTGAAAAAAGATGGACAAAGTATGGAAAAAAAATTCGATGGCCAATCCAATCGCAAGCCTGATCAGCGATTCCTTTATCACAGCCCAATCTGAAAGTTCAAAACTTGTAATCATATATAGGACCAAATACGCTTGACTGATTATTAAAGTATTGTTTTCAAAGAGTATGTTCTGAATCTCAGAATCAGCTTTGAGTCTTCTGGAGTGGGGAGTATTGATAGGCAGTTGGCGTAGTCTTGAACAACAGGTATTTCTCAATAGTTTAATCACACGCGCCCATATTTTATTCCGTAAGCTCAACGTTGCGGTTTTAAACACATACGAGAAGCCGGAGAACAACGACAGTCCGATAAACAGCCATACACTCTTAAAGTCAGCCTGCATGACACGATACAGTGTTATACTCGCTCCGCGCATAAAGTACACAAGAACAAAGCTTCGCTGTGGCTCAATAATTTCCGAGCTGCGCCACAGAGCCATGTGTTTGCAGATGGCGGTCGGAAGCAATGCAAGCAGTGGGGTTAACGTCGCTACGATAAATTTATACGTTTCATTGTTCAAGGCGTTGAACCACGAGACGGCAGCATATCGGTAATACATCGCTATCAAAAACGAGGTGAGGAACTCCACCGAAACGACTGTCATGATTTGAACGTCGGAATACGAAACGCTCGGATGGATTTCGCGCACCTTACGGACAACACGCAGACTGCCCACTATTAGACCGGTCGCGAACAACACGTTGCCTGGCACACGATATACAACTTTTGTATCATAAACACCAAACAGTAATAGAAATGTCAAATACAATGTCGCCATTAAACCAATTACAAAACCCACATAGGCAGTCGAAGCATAATGCCGTTTGAAATCACTCCAGCCAAACAAAATCACCAAACTTGCAGGAAACCAAAGATTCAACAAAATCCCCTCGATGCAATCACCGATTAGCTTAAACCGCATAACGGGGAACGGTATGGTATTGTTATGATTTCTCCATTCGTAACACAAATCACAAGTCCTGAGATCAAAATATATTACAGTCATTCCGATTACCGCAAGCAGAAATACTGCCAAGGTCATGCTAAGATTTGCTTGCAGACTTCGCACGAGCGATTGGCGGAATGTTGGTTTGACTTCGATTTCGTCTCCTTCGATTTGCACATATTCTAACTTCGTTGAGAAAACCGTTTCATCTAAGAATGTTCCGTATTCTGTGTGCGTCTCGTCATCCCGCAAAGCGGATTGCCTATCCAATTTTTCCACACCAGATCCAATTGTGCATTCTTTGTCTCGGGACAGATGTGGTGTGTCCATGGTGAACGTCGAGAACAACGACAGAAAACCAGCGATAATTTCTTCCAACATTTTCCCTCAAAGTGGTGTTGATATAGTAGGCAGTACTAATCAAATATTCAAGGCAGTATATATGATCAAATATTGACAATCTCGGAACCCAGCTCTCCAAACAAACACTTGTCAACGGTAAATAGACGTGCAGTCAAGACGTTATCTTACGGACTTTGAAGCCTGGCTTTAGTGCCAAGCGGTGGTTATTTGGAATTTATATAGACTAGGCACACCCCGGTTTCAGATCCCAGTATCTCGACTTCAGCGAAACAGTTACTTAATTTAGTAAATTAGAAATGACACTTCCGAAAACTTGTCAAATAACAGGAACTATACTCCTATGTGACGCCCACTATCGGAAACTAGAATTCATTAACTGACAGGTAATTATAGGGCACAGAAATCTGTAAAATCCATAGAATCAGATCAACAAAATACCAGGCTATTATTAAGTATGACTTCTTAAATGTACATTTTCATGTGCCGACCCTAATTCATTTTTTTTTATTACGGTACGTTATCATATGATTATATGATATATTTGCAATTTAGCACTGAAATTACGGATGTAGTGTACTTGTATTTTGGCACGGTATAATTATATAAAGTCCGACGTCTATTAAAATCAGTTGCCGAACTTGTGCCGTATTTAATTTGACTAGGTTCGGCGCATGCGAAAGTTCGCCTTCTAAAAACCGGGCCTACCATTCTTGTACCGAGCCTTATTAATTATGTGGTCTATTCTTAATGATTAATAATAATTTATTAGCGATTCCAAATTGAATTGGCTCTTCTATGAAAAAAATTGGCTCATCTATTGAATTGGCTTTTGAGTTTCCGGAAGGCTGTTTCTTAATTAGTATACAGATTCGTGTGTCACACTACACAGCCTGACACAGCGATTATCAATGTATTATGTAGTATAATTTTAACCCTGTTGACAATGTTGTGTTATTTATGCGATGTTTTGACCCTGTTTTGGCGGTTGAATTTGATAGCAATAAAATTTGAAAAACATACGCGAGAGGAAATTGATTCGGATTGTTTACGGGAGAATTTTTCCTGGGATTCATATTTTTTCGGATACGAAATTCCTCAAAAATTCTTCCGGATTCGAAAGTTCCAGATTTAGCCGGTCGAAAGTTCCGGATTCATGCCCATTAGTGTGAACGGCAAAACGAATCCGGTATAAAAACACACCGGATTCGTAACGAATGCGAAAATGTTGCTCTAGCGTTCGTGCAACGCTTGTTGCAACAAAGATGTAACAAGTTGCCAGACAAGTTGCAAGACGCGTAGGGCAACAGCGCCTTAAAACTTAAAACCGCATTCTTTGTTATTTTTGGAAATTCGTGCGGGTTAGCCGTGCTGGAATTGTTCCGGGTTTCATGTCTTTCATTTGGTCTTTGTGACACAATCGTCAGCAAATTTGAGAACGGTTTCGAATTCGTCTTGAACCGTGTGAACTGTAGTATAGTTTCACTATGCACCGTCGTCTGTCAGATTGTGGTGCCGGTTGAGTTAGCCGCGTGAGAAAACCATGCACATTCTTTTCAAACAGCTAATTCAATGAAGGTTGTCTTTAATCAAGCTTGCCCTTTCGAAAGTCAACGAAAAGCACAATGGAGTACGTGTTATTATATATAATCATCTACATGAATCGAAACGGCTGGTAATCGAGCCTAGGTTGCTACGTCCACAGGCCGTTTTGGTTTTGCGTAAATTAATTAATTGTTTTTAAAGTTTTTTTTAATTAAAGAAAGTTGTTTGGTTTGCTTAACACCGTTTCCGTTTGGATTGGGAAATAAATATTTACTTGCTTAGCATAAACACTATAGACATATAAACCAAAACATAACAATTAGCGCAAACGTGCACGCATAAGTTAATGAAAGTTGGCAATGTCCAATGAATTAGTTTGCACAATTTGCACAAGAGTTATGTATAGCATTTGTGTTATGCCGGGGTCAAAAGTACATAATGCGTGCTTGCGTGTAAGGGTAGAACAGTTGGTAGAACAGTTTGAATAACACTTATTTTTCACCCTGCTCGGTTCAATATTCCCCTCTAATCAATTTCCGTTTAATAATCCCCTCTAATATTCACCTGCAATTAATAATCCCCTCTAATATTCACCTGCAATGTCTTTGCAGCACAAAAAATGCGAAAAAACAACATCGCGAAGGCAATATGGCATTAAGAATTATTTCTTTTCTGACTCATTAACGCGACCTCGCAGTGTGAAAAATAAGTACGTTATTTTGAGGCACCTCCGCCTCGGGGATATGTGTTTATTCACCTCGGCGCTGCGCGCCTCGGTGAATAAATCACATAACCCCTCGTTGCCTCAAAATAACCTATTCTTAAACCCCGTTTACACTACGCTCAATTTTTGGTACGGCACGGATAAAATTGGTACCCGTACCACTTTTTTGGTTGTTGGACTACCTATATTTTGAGCCCTGTTTACACTACGCTCGATTTTTGGTACCGTGCCACTTTTTGGGTTCTTGAACTACCTAGGTTATCCGTGCCGCAACGGGGCTTAAATATACATGTATATTTATGCCAGGCTAGAGATGGGTAAACAAACAATATATAGTATTGTAAACAAACCGGAAGGCCCCAGGTCACAAACGTTGTTTACGATTTTAAAACTTCCGTAGGCAGGGTCAGACAGGTTATAGGGTTCAACTAATACGCAGGTAATATACCAGAAACGTTTGAGTATGCTAAGTTTCAAAATTCAAAGAACACTATATCAATAGACAGTATAAACAAACAAGACAAAAATCCTCAGATTGCATAGTCAGTTCGCTTATTAACTGCATGGCGGCCATTTTGACTTGAGCCGGCGATCCATTGCAGGTCAGTGGTTCACTTCATGAACGAAGGTCGATTTCACATTGACGAAAAAAAACGAAGAATTTTCGCACAGAAAATTAGGGGACCTTAACACTGGGCCTTACGGCCAGCGTAACAAGCGACAAAGCAGCTACAAAATGAGTGCACAAGCGGGCCTCTAAACACAATAACACAATTGTTAAACACGAAGGCTAAGCTATAAGGCTATATCAGTATAGTTAAACAGCGGCCTATATATACTCGCAAATTATGAGGCGTGCGGGAAAATTGCTGAATGCCTTATATTTTCCGCGTATTGAACATAAACTCAGACAAAAACATAAGACAATGACTTCTGTTTAGTTTCCAGACCCGATCGTATCGTGATATATGTAGACTATGCTTTGTATCTTGATTTAGACTATGCTTTGTAAATAACATTTAGAAGTTGATTTCGCTCAGTTTGATTCTGTTAACACTATATAAAGTTCATTCAAGCGACCTTTTTTGTCAGGAAAAAGATTTCTTAACACAATTCGTCTCGGTTAGCCGGTCTGACCTGGCTCATATGAACAGTCCCTTACTGCTTAGCGCAATTACCCACCACGAAAAATACGTTAAATACAGCCAGGGACGTCGCTAAGGCATCAACAACTTTGTCGTCATGTTTTGACCAACATTTAATAGAATTTTGACCAAGTTGTAAAAATATTTTCCGGAAATTTTTCCGGACTAATATAAGCACATTTAAAAAATTTTCGACCAAAATAAGCAAGGCTTGCCAATTTTTCACCACAATTTACCGACTTTGACCTTCAATTCAAATATCAAAGCAAATATAAGTTGCATTTTGACCCACTTTGACCAACGTTTCAATTATTGGAGGGGTGTTACACCCCCCAAAGGCCCAAACCCCCCACGGTAGCGATGTCCCTGAATACAGCGCTATATAGACGATAAAATTGGAGTGTTCATTTAAATGGCACTCCGTTTGTCATGGTGAGTGAACATGCCGACGCGAAACTAGCACTTTAATCTGGGGAACTGAATATTAAAATGTCTCCTTGACGACGTACAAATATTTATCATTGGTTTGTTAGGAAGGTTTTTAATTTGAATTCCGGCTTACCAGTTGGATTTCGACTTAATCTTCTCATTTTTTACACGTACATTTTGGCCTAAAGGCCGATTTACACTAGACAACTTTTGCCTAAAGCCTGGCGCACACGATGCGATTTTAGTCGGCCGATAAAAATCGTTTGACATACCGATATACATCGGTATACTCCGCACACGATTACGAAAAAAATATGCTCCCTGAACTGTAGCCGCCATGTTGCCAAATAAATACAAGCACGTGATCACAGCATGAAATCTGATTGGTTATACTTAAAATTCCACCGATAAAAATCTATATTATCAAAACGGATGTTGTCCGGTTAAAATCGAGCAACAAAAATCGGTTAAAAATGACACCGCACACACAACGATTTTGTTAGTTTTAGTCAAACGATTTTTATCGGCCGACTAAAATCGCATCGTGTGCGCCAGGCTTAAAACTGCTGCATGCAACCTACTTACAACTTGAGTTGTACTGTGTAAATTAAGCACACAACTTGCCTACGACAACATAAGCGAGATGTGTGCTTGATGTGCGCTTGTACAACTCAAGTTGCAAGCAGGTCAGTTGCATACGCCAGTTTTAGGCAAAAGTTGCCCAGTGTAAACTCGGTCTTAACAAGCCAAAATATCCCAAACCATTTTTACCACAATGTATGCATGGTGTGCCAAACGTGAAGACAAAATGTATTGCAATGATATATTTTCTTGCAAATATTAAGGTTATTTTATTGAAAAACGTCGACCTACAAGCGTAAAACAGAATGCACGCCGGTACATATCGTATAATGGGTGAATGGAAGCTGTTAGCTGTATAGTTGCAAAATAATACGAACAATTAGAATCCTGATTTGGAAAGAGATACAAACGGGCCATTCAACAATTACAATTCAATGTCCCCTCTCCTAGTCATCACTTGTTCATATCACCCTACCTACCCCCTACATTAATTACGTAACTGTCATCTTTACCCCCATCCAAAAAGCAACATATTATAAATCTATTGTAACATCGTGAGAACCGTACGCATAATGTATATGGTTATAAGGCCAACCAGTCAGACTAGAAAAACGTGCAATTTCTGACTATATACCGTTTGATACTTGTCCCAGTCTCCCGCGCTTGAAAAACCGAAAGAAGGACGGGGCTGAAGTATGACACCATCACAATGACGATGATGAAGTTAGCCAACATATGTCGTTTCCAGTACTTCGTCCAAACGCGACCAACTGGAATATTGTAGTAATGGATTTGCACAGAATTTGAAAGGCAATTGAAAAAAAAGTCGATTCCCATGCCAATTGCAACTCTTTTCAGAGATTCCAAACAGAAAGACGACACCGAAAGTTGAAAACTTTCTACAAAGTACAACACGAAGTAACCTTGGCTTAAAACAAGTGTACTGTATTCAAAAAGCATATCTTGAATTTCTAAGTCCGCTTTTAACCGTCTATAATGCGGTGTATTCTGAGGCAATTCGTTGAGCCCTTGACAGCAAACAGTTCGCTTCAAAAGTGAGATAATATATCTCCACAATTTTATCCGTATTCGATAGGTCGCCTTTTCCAAAAAGTTCATAAAACCAGAGAACAGAGATAACCCAATAAAAAGCCAAATGCTTTTCAAATCTGCTTGCATTGTGCGGTATAAGAGTATGACACCACCTCGGATAACGTATACTAGGACAAAACTCCGGCCGGGGTGTACAACCTCGGAGCTTCGTCTCAACGCCATGTGCTTACAAATCACTGCAGGGATAATGGTTAATCCTGGCACCATCACAGCCACCAAGAATTTGTAATTTTCTTGTTTTACGCTATTAAAAAAAGGCACTATAGCGTATTTGTAGATAAATCCCAATATGGAAGATACGACGAGCTCTGTCGAAACTAAAGCCAAAATACGACAGTTAGAATAGGACAATGTATAATTGCACGATCGGTTCGCTCGAACATTGCAAAGGATAACAAAGCTACAGCAAATTATGCCAGAAAAAAAACAGTACATTGGCAGGAATTCTGTAATACACGCTCGTATCATAGACACCAAATACTAGCACAAATAAGTAATAAATTACTACCGTTTCTCCGAAGATAAAAGCGACGTAAAAGGTGGACATAAACCTCAGCTTAAACTCTTTCCATCCAAATACAACTATCATTGTTAGCGGAAACCAAAGATTGGTTATCACCGCTTCAACACTGTCACCGATGACACGAAGTCGTTTTACAGAAAATGGTAAAGTATTATTGTGATACTGCCACTCCAAACAAAGATCCGTTGTGTTTAAATCAATATAAAGAAACGCCGTTACGAAAGCCGTTGGTACGAACATAGCGCACGTAATAGTCAGAGTTGTCCATAAACTTCTCCGAATCGACTCCCAATAACTCTTCTGTCCAGATGAAGTACAATCAAGCCTTGTATAAGCTGTTCTTCTTCCATTAACCAAGACTGAGCTTAACTGTTCGCTGGTATGAAAGTTCTCGTAGTATTCTTCATTAATATACGGTTGCCATCTGTCATCATCAACCTCTGGTTGATGTTCTCGTAAAGATACGCGTGGTGTTGCGTTAACGAAAAGCGAAAATAATGACAAAAACATGCCAGTTATTTCTTCCAGCATACTGGCAGATTGGTATAATTCCACATACAATAAACACGATTTAGGCGCTGTTGCCGCTTCGCCGACTATACCGATGACCCTTGACGAATTCCCAGCGGGCAAAATGTCGTTTATTCAACGTTGAATCAACGTTGGAAATGAACTTCCAGACGTTGGATAGACGTTGAAAAAGGGTTGACTATGCAAATTGCATCGACGTTACTGTTTCGACGTTGAAACAACGTTGAAATTAGGTTGCCAATCTCGTCAAACATAATTCAACGTTGAGATTACTTCACAAATCGACGTCGTACATTTAACCATGAATGAACGTTGATTCAACGTCTGTTGGCTGCTGTTGAACCAATGTTTTTAAAACAACGTCAGAGCAACGTAGATATTAGGTTGTCGACGTCGCAACCTTTTTTCTACCAAATTTCAACGTTGAAACAACGTCGTTTGTCCGGTGGGTTAGTGCCACATCACAAATATTTTTCTTTGAAAACAAATAAATTTCATTAGTATGCCGACGTTTGTCTCTATCTCAAGGAACAGAGAAATACATAATTGCTAAACAGGAAGACGATGCAATCAATTGAAGGTGGGAAAGCGTATAATCAATATACAAGAATATATTATGGTTCTCACGCTCCAGTTCTTCCTCACTACAATATTGGAAACTTTACAACTTTGTCTCTTTGTGTTCTTAATTTTTCTTTTTAGTAAAGATTGTAATGTAGTAGATATCGATTAATAAAAAAATGGGCCATTAATAAGTCAATAAATAGGCCAATTAACTACTTCACTGAAGATTTCAAGTAATTGAATCTGTAACTTTCATGAAAATGACACCCCTTATACTTACTTCCTGAAACACTACATATTAAATTTAACAAGCCAGAACTTTATGACGGTTTGAAGGCATCGAAAGAACTTATGGTTTTTTCATAATTAATAAATGTCCCTCTCAGTCTCAGCTGATTGCGTCAACCGTTCCTGATTTTGTCACTTGCATAAAAATCTCAGCAGGCTTGCAAATAGTTAGGTCTGACAATGACTTTGAAATAAAGTCGACATACTACTTTGAATTTTGTTATTTTGTTTAAATTAATAGCTCGAAATTGTGGGAACCACTGAGTATTTTAGTTAAATACAATGCGATGTATAGTAATTCCGAAACATTTGAACTGATGTGGTTATTGAACGTTTTCACTAGATTTTAGTCATCATCAGGAACGATGACATTATTACATAACAGTATTTATTATATATTAGAGAGTGAGATACTGAAAAATACACAGTGAGATATTTTCTATATCTTCACTAGTGAAGATATCGATGACGTGACTTTTCCGAATTTGTTTTTAAGCGTGAAACTTCACAATTTTTTACATATTAAATCAGGCCCATTAAATTTAAAGGGTATGGGCAATGAAAATTGCTTCATCTATCTTATTGCTTCATCTGAAAGAGCATGAAAAAATAAGCCGATTGGCCGTTTACTGCTCTATTCTATCTCATCTGGTTCC